AAGGTGAATGCCACGGCACTTTATGCAATTCTTACTAACTCTTACTAACGATCTATCAAATCCATGTTAGTCACTACTCTTGTCAAAGGCAGGAAAGATTTCAACAATTGTTTTTGACCAAGCCAAAACCACGAAGTTTTACCTCAGAAAATTCTCGTAAATTATTCTTACAAGGGAAGGATACTTGGTCGCAGTGACAGTTGGGTAAGCGGTGTATACCACGTATACCGTCCCCAGACGGTGACCTCTAAACCGCATTCCATATCTGCTATGACGGCATTCTGGAAGAGTTATAAAGGAATTTTGTTGCAGTGGATAGTGGCGGAGCTGGACGCCGTGGGTTCGATTCCTCTGGGATGCCACCCGTTTTGCATTTTTGTAAATTTTAGCAGGCAAGTTGCAAAACCTGTAGACATAAAAAAAAGTTGATTCTCATAATATGACGCAATATATTTGCATTTATTGGCACTGAATCACCGTCTAACCTAAAAACACTCGTTTTTAGCCTTTTTCATTGAATACTTTACTCAGTTTTACATTGAAAGGCCTTCATGAACACATATGATATGAAAGCTGCTAGTTAGTTAGTTGCTCCTCTCTAAGTTAAGCACGAATTCGAAATTCAAAGGCACTTTCGAATTCGAATTCGAATTCGAATTCGAATTCGAAAGTGCCTTTGCGATGCGGAGATTTCGATGAAACTTGCGCCTGAACAAAAAGCTTTGGCGCCGTCCTGCAAGCGCAGATTGCCATAATACTGACTAGCTGTTCCGCTATGGGCAAATTTCATCGCGGATCTCGGCACTTTGAAGGCATCACATTTACACCACATTTACCGAAAAGCCAACTCGACTACACACACCTTTGGGAGTGATTCACGTATTTCTTAATAATATGATGCAATGTACTTACGAGGGAAGGATATTCAATCGAAGTGGCCTTTCAATAGAATGCGCACTATCCGAAAGTGTATGAAACGCTGCTTCCGACTCTGCTTTCGGCATCTGCAAAGCTTCTCTAGCAAGGGAAGTGATCTCAATGACGATTGGGTGAGCGGTGTATTCCGCTTATATCGTCCGTGGGGACGGTATACGTGGCATACACCGCTTACTCAACTGTCACTGCGACCAAGTATCCTTTCCTTGTAAGAGTAATTTACGAGAATTTTCTGAGGTAAAACTTCGTGGTTTTGGCTAGGTCAAAAACAATTGTTGAAATCTTTCCTGCCCTTGACAAGAGTAGTGACTAACATGGATTTGATAGATCGTTAGTAAGAATTAGTAAGAATTGCATAAAGTGCCGTGGCATTCACCTTCGCCCCGTTGAGCTCATGAAGGACAATCTCAATGGTTTTGCTGTAGCCGCCAAATTTCTGCTTCAAAAAATTCTCATAACTCCTCTCCCAAAATCGCTTTGCAGTAAGTGAACCAACTAGCAAGTTCAGATCAACGTTTTATGCTCTTTGTATAGCACTCGTCTCATATGGGAAGGTCACTTTGGGTATCCTTCCTTTATCAGAAAATTGTCTTATACATAATTCAGCAGAGACTGGGTCACCGAGCCAGCAAAGAGTCGGCAGAATTTCTGTTATTGCACGCTAACGAATTGTGTACAAACACTGCAAGCGAATCCAACTGGAGACAGGAATAAATGGGAGTTTCTACAGTACAGCAGATAACATACTTTAGAGTGTTCGAACAAACAGGCTTTCAATTGCAATTATCAAATTAATCCGGCCAACATGGGAAATCCCAGTTCAAATAACCGCCAAACAAAGAAGTCAGAAGTGTAGAAAAATTTGTTTACCCAATTTTTTTCGCTTTGAGTGGTGACAGTCGTACCTTTGATAGGCTTGTTCACATCCTACAGAATAAAGAATTTTTTGCCAAATGATGTATGAAAAGTTCGATAGCCCAAATTTTCTCTCGAAAGCAAGCATTAACAGGTAGACCCTAAGTGTTTGACTGTGTTTGCGACGTGAAAACTCGTCAAGGGCTCAGGAGAGTTCGTCAAGGGGGCTGGCCGTGCGACGGAGTGGCGTGGTTCTCGAGGCTTGGCGTTTCCTGCGCCGATTTTCTCTCTTTACAGGGGGGTGTACAAAAGTCAAACTTGTGCGATAGTTCTAGAACGAGGCCGTAGTACTCGGTTATGCGTTATTCGAAAATGTTCAAATCTGCCGGAGGCTGCCTCCTTTGAGAACAAAGTTCAACTTCGAAAGTCCATTACCCATGTGTCTTATTATCTGAAAACTTCAGAATCGTTTGAACTTGATGCAAGGATCAGTTGTCATGCTAATTACGAGAATGTTTATTATGTTTGATAGCGTTCGTCTCCAAACGCCATTTTTGCGTCGCTAGGGAAGGTGGTTGGTAGTCTAAACATCTGCTTTCTTGAGACCATAGTCGTCATACTGTCTTAAGACCCTGCGAACATGTGAACGAGATGCGCAGACAGCATTCTTGATTAGAGGGCAATTTTGAAATCGTAGATCAATCGCTCTCGGCGATTTCAGTTGCGTTTCAAAATTACTGTACAGTCCAGACGGCCTTCATGGATTATTTCGACAGTGCGCATGGCCGCCATTAGTAAAATTGTGAGATTACAGCAACTTCGTAATAGCCACCTTCGAGTACGGCATTTTCAAAACAGAAAGACAGAGACCGAGCACGATATTTTGGCTCCCGCTTCAGCCGCCAAATACAAATACTACTCAGTCAAGTTTCAAATGACTTTGGTGTTAGATTCATCAAAAATTACACGGGGAATCTCAATATTGTTTATAAAAGTAGAAAATAAACACGTTCTGGTTTTGTTCCTTCGTAACTTAACTTTGAAGAGTTTCAGGTGTTTTTGTGACATGTGGAATTTTCCTACTGGCCGTGAACTCGATCGCGTCCTATGAAGGCAGTACTTTAGTTTCTGCGAACTTGAAACATGTGAGTATAATGTCTCAAGGATTATTGCCTAGTAATTCGCCTGTTTATCATTGTTGCAAAAATTTCCTGTTTACGTTCTAATGGACCATCTTTTCCGCTTTTAGGATTTGTCCAGTTTTTTTCTTCCAAATGCTTTCTTATAAATAGATCTTGAAGAGCGGCTATTGACAGACTTCAGTTATGAACCGTCTCATAACAAAATTCCACGCTTTTTCCACGCGGAAGAGTGCATGAACAGAAATTGCGTTTGATCTGCGATCATGGTGGAATGGTAAATGAATGCATTAGCAAAGAGTTTCTTGTTTGTCACTAGATTAGACCGTTCCCAAAATAGGCACTCTATTACACAACCTGTTCATCGAAGCTTCTCAGTCTTTCCCTAATTGTAGTTAAAAACTTTCGAATACATTACTCATACACGTTTTTGACAACGTTCGGCAAAGCATTAAAACGTTTACTGACAGGAAAGTGCAAAAAGTAGGAAATGAGTTTTTCAGTAGTGCACATTCTTTGCTCTTCAAAAAAGGCAATTCCTTCCTCTCTAGAAGAGACGGGTAAAAACATGAATGAATTAGCAGCATTTCTTGAACGGGTCGCAAAATTTTTGAAAGTTACCTACATGGGTTATAAAAATGTGCAAGTGACTTGTCTGCCCTTGTAAATAATTAGAATAATCTTTGAAATTTTTAACAAGTTCATCTTAGCCTTATAAAAAAATTTTCGGGGGCGCCACTCCCCTTTTTCTGAAATTTTGGGGTTCTGAGCCTGCGAAAATTTTAGGGAGCATACCAAAAAAATTTCCGTCTCCCCCCCCCCCCGAGCCGAATTCCTGAGTACGCCATTGCTTGATGCATTTCTTTCGCTCTCTTTCTAACGAGTGCTTTTTGTTTTCGATTCGTGTCTTCGGAGGCTAAAATAATCATGATTCATGTTTTCAAACGAGCCCAACTTGTTACTAGAAATTGTGAAAGTCGATAACTTCCGAGAACGCTTATTTGCTTGTGAAATTTGTGTTGAAACGTAATCCACTTTTGAAAGTTTCATTTCGAAGATTCAATGCTGTTACACATGCAAGTGTCTGACTTTGCCTTGCTAAAGTAGTTTCGACAAGAATTTCATCTAACAAACATGACGAGTCATATTATACCAGAAGTAAACTCGTTTTCTGGGTAAATTGAGCTGTTTTTGTTTTCCTAGCGCTAGGGCATCAATCTATAGAACGAAGCAGGCCCTACAAAACGACCGCCAAGATTGCGCCTGTAATCCAGGTAAAATTTGGAACCAAAAATGAAAGTTTTCAGCTACCCTAAAAATCGGATCTCAATCCGAAAATTTTCCACGGATTTCTAACTTGGTATACAGTAAATACATAGTATCCTAATTTGACAAGTACAGTACGCACCTGTTCTTTTCTGAATTCAACCAGACTGAACATACCAAAAATTTCCTGGACTAAGGAACCCTACACAGTGCTGCGTATTGCCTGAGAGTAATGTGCAGCATAATTTTCGTTTTCCAAAACACACTGAGGCGGCTGAGCGGCTCGCTTGAAAAATCGAAAAAGGCGCGTCTTGTACTCGTGGAATTAGGGTAGTACCCAAAAACGCGTTTGGTGAATTTTTTCTTCTCTAACGTTCGCTTGCAGGTTACCGCAAAAGCGTATGCGCTTAAAAATTCGTATCTTTTTTGTAAACACACTGCAGAATTCAGCAACTGTTAAAAAGGCTTAGTTCTTGTCTGAATGGTATGATGTTTGCTCAAGGATTTGCGGATGGCTAAGTAATTTTGAAAATGCAAAGAAAAATCTGACTGACATTTCAGCACGCTGTATCGAGAGTCGCGGTATACCATATAATCCGGTATATTTGAAAAATTTGCAGTGACAAATCATCTCACGTAGTCGATATCGAGAGGCTTACATTATAACGAGTTCAGTTTAAGGGTGAAAAAATGGGAAAGGAAACACCAAATCCTCGTCTAGAGAAAACTCCACAAAAGAATCGAAAAACCAGGGTGGAAAGTATAGCAATCGTAAGCACTGTGAGCAAAGACTCCAACGCAACGATGTACAAGACAGCATTGGACTCAATGGAGTGCTATGCGCTGCAAAACAACTACTCATTCCTGTTATTAAGCGGAGGAGACTTTGAAGCAGTCTGTGAACATAAGGATGTGAGTTCTCCTAGATTATAATTGAGTCACTATTTACATGTACGTTCAGATTACGTTTCAACGCCACTGCATTGTCTTCCTTGTTCTTAAATCATATAATTTTACCTGGGTGCACTACGTGGACAGCGACATAGGAGTTGTGAACGAGAAAATGTAAGTATGGCTGCAAGCTATCAATGATAGTTTTGAAACCGCAGCGACTCTACTTCTTCCGGCTGTCTTCTGTCTTCATCCGCATTCGCGAACAAGTGCATTCTCCTAAGCCTGAACAGTGAAGAATGGCGGGCGTAGAAAAATGTCAAGACAATACGTTTGCGAATTAAGCGCGAGACAGAGCGAAGCACTAGCATTGAGATGACCTATAAGCCGTGGTAGTGGCTCAGACAATTTTAGCTCTTGCAGAAAGTTGGAGAACTATATTAAAAAAGATGCCCACATTATTTTCTATGAAAGGATCTTCAGCTTCGAAATAACGGCAGGTAAGTTGGGATATCGTTCAATGAGGCAAAGTTACTTTTAAAAATGGGTTTTGCCCTTTAAGACAGCTACCTTGCTATTGAAAGTGCGGCCTGGAGAGCGTAAAAATTGCGAAAAATGGCTTTTCTCAATGGAACCTATTGAATTGGGACGTATATGCGTAAGGCTGCATTTTCACTGATTCCGAGATCCGGGAAGGGAGCAGTCCCAAACTTTCAGATCAGTATGAACGCAGCCTAAAGTCTCACGCACTACTTTCTCCATTACTTTCGCTGCAGTAGGTACCAAGCTAATAGGCCGAAAGTCCGAAAGGAGTTAAGCGTTAGAAACTTTAGGAATCGCGGTTACCAACGCCTCCTTCCAGACCTGCGGTACTTCTCCAAGCATCATTGATATGTTAAAAATATGAGCAAGAGGAATACAAAGAGATGATGCGCATTTTTTGAAAACAATTTGTGGAATACCATCGTACGTTTCAGTAGAGGAGGCTCTCAATCTGATTAAAATCCTCCGAATTTCAGAGGGAGTGAAGAAAACAGTAGAAAGGCAGTGATGACCAGCGGGGGTAACCGTGGAGAATTCCGAAGTCAAAATTGGATCGTCATGAGAGAACACACCAGCGAAATAGCGAGCTAAGGCTTGCGATTTATCTATGTCCGTAGTATAGGTATTCCCATTTTGATCGGAAATGGCAGACAGATGGCGGTTTGGTTTCAATTTTTGATTTATATACTGAAAGAAAAAATTCGACGAAGCTTTAATAGCCAACTTTTGTTCGTGCGTTTACAAAAATCTTTTCAAATGATGATCCACATCCTTGAAAGGCAGTGTCCAGGTAAATCTGGGCATATGGGTTTTTTGCCTGGAGAATGAGAGGAGGTTTCAGCTAAACCATTGCGCAAACTGCAGCGCAAATTATTCATTCACGGCTGAAAAACCCCTCAAACACTGCGGCTGCGCCGTGACCGTAACACATGGGTCCCAGCGCGAACGTAATGTTGAAGTGAGCGAAGTCGTTTTTGGGTTACGGTCACGGCGCAGGCGCCGGCTTTCTAGGGACGGATTTCTCAGCCGTGAATGAACTATTTGCGCTGACCTGAGCAATGCCTTAGTTATGACGTCCTCATCAATTTACAGGCGAAAAACGTATGCGCCCAGATTTACCTGGACACTGCCTTCAAAGGCAGTGTCTAGGTAAATCTGGACGCATGGGCTTCTAGTTAGTTGATGGCACAAATCTCTACAATGTTACGCTAGAAAAGGTTTTCCTGAGGAGTTACTAGTAAGGGTGTCGTCGTTTGCAACTCATGGTGTGCAATCACATATTGGACCTTAGTAAACGTCCGTCAAATCAGGTGAAGTGAACTGCTCAACTTTACAATCGTCAGTTGAAATTACGTCGCCCATCCTCCTATGATTTGAAAAGGTCACCTGGACTGGCGACTTTGCCACGCTGCGGTAAGATAAGTATGAGTCATAAGTTCAACTGCTGTAGATAGGGTTGAAAAGCGAAGACAGGGAAAAAAAGTTGTTCGTGAGAATTACGGGACACGTAAGGGGACATAGTACTACGAACGATAACTCGAAGCTACACACTTTAGAAAACTTACGGATGGAGAGAATCAATGAACACGTGAATACAGCCAAAGGAGAAGAAGACAATCCGTCCATTACCCCTTGCAGGAGATACCTCAATTCTAGAGAAACGCTCTCAGCGAGCCTTCATCTTTTCTACATATTCTTGCTGCAATTTCATGTAAATTCATATCAAACTATCGTAATTTTTTCCCTCTCGTTCCATCTCGTTCTCTCCACTAAATCTCTTCAGCGTCATCATTGATAACCAATGGTGGCCGATATCAAAATGGCCGGGCCGTGTAGCTGGTCTCGAACCGCGACCGCGCCAGTTGACTAACGGCACTTCTATCCATTTGACCAAGCCTGAACAAGCGGCGAAGGTGTTCTTTTGTTGAAAATCACGTTTACAATGCGATATCAAGATATTGGCACTCGTTAATCTGTAGAAGTTGCGTCTGAAGATATTGGCACTCGTTAATCTGTAGAAGTTGCGTCTGGAAGGAAGGATCTATAAAGATGGTTTGAGAACCCGCATAGGGATACATGCAATAACTTTGCACCAATCTAAAACTAGTAAAGACCAATTATCTTTGGAAACTGTGAGGTCATATCCTATCTCATTATTGACCACATTCTTAGGCACATATTTCGCGAGAAAGTCTGCGTTCTCTATAATGTTTCTTTGTGGCTGGGCCGATTATGAATTTCGTAGAAGAAATACTGAACTGGAACTGACGAACTGGAAAGAAATGCCGTCTGCCGAAAAGTTTTCATGGGAGGGACAATGGAGCTTTGCATGTGAGTATGTTTTTCAGCACCCAGTTCAATAAAGGACATACTGCCTAAGTTTATGAAAATGGACAGGGACAGATTCTTCAGCACTTTTACTACTTAAGGATTCGCGTCGTACAAGCGGTCCTCCTATAGGTAGGCACTACCGTGCAAGCGGACCATATAAATGTAAAGCTGCATGCGGCAAACATTGAGAGTGCTGTTCGACCGGCAGGCAAGGTAAGCTGCGATCGGCCGATAGGTTTGCCCATGCGAGCGACACCATGTCCCCGTCCGATCGGCCAACAATACTCGATTGCTAGCGAGCGGCCAACGGTAACCTTCATCTTCTCCTCACGATTCTCATACGTCGTGAGCTTGAACGCTACTGCATGAGACGCAAAACTTAGGCTGCATGTAGGTATCACTAAGTTTTCCCTACAACGGGGCTTAAATGAACCTGCGTGAGGTTAAGCAATCATGGTCAGGGTCAAGGGTGTGAAAGTTGGATGAATGTCCGGTGTTCATCCACATTTCCGAAGGCATGACTGTGGGGACAAAAATTACTCCAAAAATGGTCCGAAAGAGCAACTCCGTCTGGGGGGGGGGCAAAATTTTTTCCAAATGAAGGTGCAGGCGTTAATTTCGGACACATTTTTGGGGTGCTTCAAATACCCCCTGAAATCTAGAAAAAGGGAGCGTAGCGCCGCGCCCCCAAAAAATTCTTTACAGGGCTAATTTGAATTCAAAAAATTCAATAATTATTGTATTTACAAGAATGAACAAGTCACTTACACATTTTCATAACCCATGTAAGTAAATTTCAAAAATTTTGCGACCCATTTTCGGTGAGAGTTGCACCTCCTTCCCCTCGGTTCATTGTGGTTTGGATATGTCGTACAAGATTAGACCAACGACAAGCGAGCGGGAACCTTCCCCGAGCAACTGGCAAGCAAATTTTACCATGCATGCGCCCCACCTTACCTGTTCGAACGGCCCTTGGCGGCCGTACACTCGCACATGCCAGCGGCTGTTTATACACTCCTCAGTAACCGCCCGCACTGCGCGAATCCCTGAGTAGGTTGTCCTATCAGTTTTATGACATATGACTTTTCACCGCGACAAGTTATTTATTTTCACATTTTCAATAAATTTCGGAATACCTTCTGACAGAATAAAGCAAGCTCTATAAGAGCGCTTGAACATTTGTACAAAGTTTGACGTTTGGCAAAAAGTTTAAAGACAAGTAAAAAAGCTCCAATTGTTTGAAAAACTGAAAAATAGTATTGTAGTTTGAAAAATTCTGCGGTTATCTCTGCACCCGCTCACGCATACTCAGAATAATCTCGGCCGAGGGTTTGCAAACACTATGTGTATGCATTCAGTTCTGTCGAGCTGTTCGGTATTCGCTGTGGAGTTGTTACACGCCCGTCCGGTCGCACAAAAACCGAGTGATCTGCCAACCAGCGGCCGAGCAAAATCAGCTTTTCGTACCAGTTCCGTTAAGCTAAAGTACAATAGCTGCTTGTCCGGTATATGTGCCCGTCCGGCCAAACAGCTATGTTCGCGGGCGGCCCGGCCGAATTTTTGCCAGAGGCAGGCGCTGTACTTTTCGAGGAGTATAGCCCTCCCACGTCGCCAATAGCTATCGCTGGCGATCGCCAGTCGCTAAAGTTGGTCGCTGCACTGTAGATAGCTGTCGATTGCTGACACGTCTTTATATTGATACGTATTCAATGTGAATCGCTACAACTGGCGATCGCCAACTGCTACGATTGACGATCGTTAGTCGCCAGTATTGGCGACGTGTGTTCTATGCGTATCGGTCGCCAACAATTGCCACATGTTCAATCTTAGGCATTTAAAGTGAAATTGCCAACATTGGCGAACAGGCCTCTTTGACTAAATAAGCTTCCCTCCCTTGTTAGAAACGTAGTCCTAAGCTGCGGAACGAATCTTCGGAAAAACCGTATCTTGCCGCATCCGATTTGTTTGCACAAGAGTACAAGCAATTTGATAGGTGGTAGAGGTGTCGAATGGTTCAGTGGTTAGCGCTGTAGATTATTGCAAAATGGAGATGCTGGTTTGATCTCGGTCGGTAAAAATATTTAGCATTTGCTTTAAAGAGCGCTAATTTTTTTTTTCAGAAAAAAGTTTCGCAGATATCGAACATAGTTTCGAGATCAGCATTTCGAGGCAAGCATTTTGATGTATAATATGCTGCAAAAGCCCAGGCCAACGGTCATCGTTCCCTGAATAATTTTGCTTTCTTTGCTGGAGGTTGAATATCCATTTTGTCATAGTTCTCAAAAGCAATCACTTCTCGCTCTCTTCTAGTACTACTTAATAGCAAGGAACCTATATCCACCGATACTAATTGAGCCACTTATTTATCGACTGGCTAAGACATCTCCTCCCCCCTCCCCCTCCCTAAGGGCCTTGTCCACTCTTAGGGCCGCATGCACTTAACATCCCCGCTGGGGAGGGGATTGCATCCTAAAATGAAACTTCATATTCTGAAGCTCCAGATAACTAAATTTCACGCTGTCTACCTGTCCGTAAGTATTCCTATCATTCTTCACCATGAACATGTTAAACAGGAGCGCGAAGCTGTACGAACCGCATGTTCCAGCTTTTGTGAAGACCCCCGGCGCTTTTCTTTAAAGTCATTTTTCTTTCTCCGAAGTTAGCAAAATTCTTCCAAAGTCGTGCTGAACATCTAACACAACAGTGCTAAGCATGTTGCTGATGAGTTTTTGAAAAATCGAATTTTTTTTCATTCGATTCGGACCCAAGTATGATGTACAGGGTAAGAGACCATTAATGTAATTTCTCCCAATGAGATGTCTACAAGAAAAAAGGTTTTTGCTAAGCGGTCCACTGCGGAATCCAAATACCAAACTTCGGGAAGAAGAGCTGTGAAACAACATTCTTCTGAATGGTCTTGTAAGTTCTTTCATATTCGAGCCTTCAAGTCGTTCTTTTTCAAGAACTAAAGCACCTACAAGGGGGCAAACTTGTGACAGGTATATCTAAGTGAATAACCTATATAATCACATATTTGCGAGGAACGCAGAACCGCTACAGGCAAACTTTGATATTCATTGCCTTTTTATAAGTCATCAGACCTTGAAACCCAATGCGACTCATGTTTGATGCAAACTTTTGAACGTCTTTTGTAGAGCTTGCTTTGATGTGAAGGGCTCAATGTCAATTGTGCAAGAACAACATCTGTAACCTGGTCCAGCAAACTGTTCAGCAGATACGAAAAGCCTCGCACTAGCGTTCCAAAATCTTTTGAATAATATAGGTTTTGTTGGAAGGGACCATTTTCGCCTCTTTCTTTCTTAATAAGAAGGATCCCAAGATCACAAGGCGATTTGGAACGAATTACATATCTTGAAGTGCGCCTTGTTAAGCTAATTTCGTCCTTCATATCTGCTGCACGGTTCTCCAAATGATGTTCTGAGCGTTTAGTAGTTCGAATTTAGCTGACATTTAATAACACAACTTCAAAAGTGGTTGTACAAAAACATTTATCTATGTTCCGGTAAATGTGTGCATCTTCTAGTCAATACATTCAACATCGCGCTGATTTTGCACTCCCCAGCTTGTTGAAGTACAGTATGCATTAAAGCACTAATAGCGTCAATAACTTTTAGTCGCTCATAACTTCTTTTAGAGAACCGAGCATTACTCAGATAATCGCCGGGGCAGGCGGCCATGCGAATTTCGAGCAAGCGGGCACCGGAAAAGTAGTTCGCTGATTTCTTGTGAACGCGCGGGTTTGCAAGAGGCCGTTAGAGTGGTCGATATACCACTCCAGACTTGAAACGCCGACTGGTTCGCAACCGTATATATGATTGCGTTTGTTTGACTCCAGGATGTGTAATATGCCCATACAGCAGAGAGGGTGATTGATTGTATGATGTCAAGAGTAATTTACCGCATAACATGTTTATCATGTGGAGACACCTACATCGGAGAGACCGGGCGCCCTCTTTGTGTTCGCATCAAAGAACATCTAGATGGGCTAAATAAGTGTCAAGGCCCTCCACACCCCTGGGGCAACATCTAATAAGCCGTCATGAAAATGCTGAAGTCTCTATTGCAGTAAAGATCTTATTGCTTGAGCAGGAAATCCTGGCACGCAAAACGTTAGAAGCATCTTGGATTGCTGCGGAAAGCCCTAAAATGAACAGAAAAGACGAGTGCCTTGTAGTCACTAGCGAACTCGCGCCTTATCAGGCCCTCTGTGGTTTTGACTGAGGTCAGTCACTCAGGCGTATAAATAGAAGTTGGAGGCCCATTTTGCATAAGGTGGTCTGTTCTCCAGATACCTGTTGTGCTGTGTCTAAGGTGAGTATTTGTTCTTGTGGCTTTGTTAATGTCTTTGACTAATATCCCCGGGTTTGTTTTGTTCCTGGCACTTAAAGGCAGTACATCGGCAGAATGAGACCCGTGACAAAACAAGGTCACAGAGTGTAAACCTTCATATGGAACCTATCGGCCAAAGTCCGATCTTCCTCTGCCACTTCTAACCCCCGAAATTTCAAAGCGAAAGCAGCGCGCATCTCCTGTTCTCTCCGAACCCGCCCACCCCATGGACGAGTGAACGCGAAGC